TTATGCTTTTGGCCTTTCACTTGGAATAAACAGGGGAAGAGACTTGGCAATTCTTTAATCTTGAAGCACTCTAAAAGGGTGACTGGTGTGATGAAATCTAATATCTGTGCAAGGTCAGACAATCCTTGTCAGCCACTGCTTCCAGCTCAAGCAGAGGCTCTCAGGACTTGCAGGCAATGACTCAGGGATTCAGTGTTGTGGAGCAGAGTCCAGCTAACAGCCAGAAGCCTGAGATTCCAGACTCTAACTGTTGTGAGTACAGAGCAGCCCACTAGGAATGCTGTCGCTGCTGAAATCTGTCTGTGAAGTCTGTTTTTAATACACAGCCAGCCCTGTTCTTGACACAGCTCCAGGGAGAGAAATATTTGGGTGAGTCCTGCTCCCATCCTGGGTGGGACAAGAGGTCAGGCACCTTATGTCCTTTCTTAACTCTCCCAGCAGGAGAAGGGAACCAAGTTTGGTTTGAGTTGTTGCTTTGCTGAAGGCTGTGTGCCGAGGAAGTTAAAGGGAGTGGTCGTGTTAGAGATCTGCAGCTCTCTGACCTTATTCCTAGCAGGTTTTCAAGTCCTGCTTGTGTTTGCTCTTCTGACCACTGAACCGTGGCTTCTTCACGGGTCAGGACTGCTTAATGTTTTCCCCAGAGAGATCTTTCGACTGCGCTTGACCGAAACCAAACAAATGAGCACTTTAGCAAAGTACATACAAAGTGTAATTCTCAGTTAAAATACGTGATATCCTCGAATCCTGTTTGATGCATAGGGCTTCAGAGCCCCTGCAGTAGCTGTGGTTGTAGTTGTGTGGCTGCTGGGCTGTTTCTGGGAGCTGATGTAGGGCACTGGCTCAGCCAGGCTGCAGGAGCTGACGCTGTCACTTGTCTTGCAGTGGGACACGGCGGGACAGGAGCGGTTTCGGACTATCACTTCCAGTTACTATAGAGGAGCTCATGGCATCATAGTTGTGTATGATGTTACAGATCAGGTACGTGGCAAACCTGTGCCTGCAGAGTTTCTCCAGGCTGATGAGTAAATTGGGAATTTAACAGCTGGGCACATCTGAAGGAGACAGTGACAGAGTTCTACAGGCTGTGTTAAGGCTTATCAAGCTAAATGTATGTGTTTGCCTCTGGCTTGGCAGAAATAAAACACAGAAATAAAGAGAGCAGTGGGATTTGCGGCTCCTAAGCAGCTGTATCTTAGGCTTAACCTAAAACTTGGTGAGGAGGTAACTGGTTGTTCTGTGTGAATACATCTCACCTTGCCTTTGGTAGCAGGAAATCTGAGTTACTGATGGAAGCTGTTGAAAGATTCCTGAATGCACTTGAACTGTGGTCTGTAGTAAAGACCAGCATTTGGAACAGAAAATTGTCAGCCTGTGTGCAAGATACAACTGAGCCAGTGTTTTCTCTGAAAGGATCTCTGAAGAACTGGTGCAGTTGTTTGAAGGGCACTCGGGAAGTATAGGATTTCCTGAATTAATAGAAAAAGAACACTTGTGTTCAGTCACTGATTGGAATATCAGTCCAGCATTTCTGGAGTCAGAGGTTGTTTCAGCGTATCTACAACAAGGTGGCTTGCATCTAACACCTGATGCTTAGTAAGTATGTGGGATGCATCTAGTTTCAGCTGTGTGCCACATCTCTTATCTCTGCTACAAGAGGAGGAAGAAGAGCCCTAGATGGTAGAAGATGTTAATTATTCAATGTATGAAGTGGGGAAAAATAATAGGGGGAAGAGTGCAGGAAGGGCTGATTGTGTAGGGCTGGGAACAGGAGCTGTATGGCCCCTGTGGTGACTGGCATGTCCTGAGGCCATCAGGGGAGTTGGGCATCCTCTCCCAGGGTTGTGAACCACATGGATAAGCACAGTGCTTCATATTCCTTCCTGATCATGACCAAAGGGATAGTGCTGAACTTCCCTCTTCATCAAGGGCCTTGCTTACAGTTCTCTTATCTCGTAGGAGTCTTTCAATAATGTCAAGCAGTGGCTGCAGGAGATAGACCGTTATGCCAGTGAAAACGTCAACAAGTTGTTGGTGGGGAACAAGTGTGATCTGACCACAAAGAAAGTAGTAGACTATACAACAGCAAAGGTATGTCGGGGCTCGTGTGTTTGCTGGGCTGAGCCCCTGCTCTGGTTTGTCAAGCACAGAGGTTCCAGTGCAGGGAGGTGTCCTGGTGCCACCAACAGGGGCAGTTTAAGGACCCCCTGCCCTGCAGCTCATCCTCAGGCTGGAGATGGGGTGTGGGGTGGGATCCAGGAGCTTGTGGGGTATCCAGTGGTGCTCCAGGAAATGAGGTGAGGTATGGACCTGTGTATGAGCTTACTGTTCACTGTTTCTCGATTTGCAGGAATTTGCAGATTCTCTTGGAATTCCGTTTTTGGAAACCAGTGCAAAGAATGCCACAAATGTAGAACAGTCTTTCATGACCATGGCTGCCGAGATTAAAAAACGAATGGGTCCGGGAGCGACAGCTGGTGGTGCAGAGAAGTCCAATGTTAAAATTCAGAGCACTCCAGTCAAGCAGTCTAGTGGAGGTTGCTGCTAAAACTTGCCTCCCCCCCTTTTGTCTCACAACAATGAATTTGCAATCTGAACCCAAGTGAAAAAAAAAATTTGCCTGAATTGTACTGTATGTAGCTGCACTACAACAGATTCTTACCGTCTCCACAAAGGTCAGAGATTGTAAATGGTCAATACTGACTTTTTTTATTCCCTTGACTCAAGACAGCTAACTTCATTTTCAGAACTGTTTTAAACCTTTGTGTGCTGGTTTATAAACGTGTAATCCTTGTTGCTTTTCCTGATACCAGACTGTTTCCTGTGGTTGGTTAGGATGTATTTTTGTTTTGATGTTTCTATTGGCATGTTTAGATGTCAGGTTTAGTCTTCTGAAGATGAAGTTTAGCCATTTTGTATCAAACAGCACAACAGTGTCTGTCACTTTCCATGCATAAAATTTAGTAAGATATATGTAAGATCTGATTTGCTAGTTCCTTCTTGTAGAATTATAAATGGAGAGATCACACTATCTGATTAATAGTTTCTTCATACTCTGCATATAATTTGTGGCTGCAGAATATTGTAATTTGTTGCACAATATGTAACAAAACTGAAGAAATGTTTAATAAATATTGTACTTATTGGAAGTAATATCAAACTGTATGGTGATAAATATTGTCTTAATTTGTATGGCTAAGGGGGAAATCAGGCTTGCATTGTGCACAAAACAACGTATCTGTGTGTGCAGCCGTGGCTCCCAGACCTTCCCTGCAACTCGCCCAGTGACTGTGGCCCCAAAGCCTGAGCTGCCATGGTGCTTAAGGCACGAGTGCTGTACCAGGAACACCCAGCTGAGGTTCATGAGGCACAATGCACTCTGAATGTACAACAGTTCCCTAACTTAGTCTTGGAACTTAATTTATTTCTCAAGGACTCCATGCAGGGAATTCCCATCAGCTTTGCATAGCAGGGGAGAGAACAGTATTTCCCTAACGTGAACGATTTCAGCGAAACCTTGAGGAGGTATAACTTTCTACCAGTATGTTATGTCTTTTCTATATACTGTTAATTCCATCCTCTTTTAATCAGTATCTTCTGACTTAGTGCAACAGCTTAGCTTCTATTCCCTTCTGCAGCGAGGCACCAGGAGGGTGACATGGGGATAGCAAGGCCCCCACCAAACTGTTGCTCGAAGTAGGCGCTTTCTCAAACAATTTGGAACTAACCAGCAGCCACGAGGTTTTGGATGGTGTGTGATTCTTTGTACAGAGCTAATCAAATCATTAGTGCCTGATGTCTAGCTAAAAGCCACAGGAAAGCTAGCCTATAACACTTCCTATACATGTAAAATTGTTCAGCTTTATCTAAACTCAAATGTTCAGCCTATTCTGTAAATAGTCTCATGTTTGAAAGACCATGTAACATTCCCCTAGTAGTAAATACACCCTGTGATAGTAAAAATATAGCCTAGGTATGTTGTGAGGTATAAACTAAAACTGGTGCAAATATCCTCTGATTTTTTTTTTTTTTTTTTGGGGGGGTGACTTTGGCTAACAGCTTTCTTCAACATAGTTGCATAAATCAACAGGCAATTGTAATACATAAAGTATTGTCATGGTTAAGTTGAACTCTTCCACTTGAGACCTTCACAATAAAGTGATGTGCTTTCTAGTAGAGATGTGCTTGTTGGTATAATTCATTATAAATGTGACCTGCTGCTCCTCAGGAGCAGTGAGTGCTGCTGAGATCAGGAAGTGAAGCGGAATGAGGTGTGTTGAGGGCAAAACATCTTCCCTGCAGAGAGTGCACAAATGAACTTCAATGTTGAGATGCCTGCTACATACTATCCAAACCAATGTTAATATATACAGTAATAAAAGCATTGCAAAACCAGTTGGGCTACACCAGGTGTTTGGTGGTTCTTTGTTCCCCCTCAGTCACCAATGGGTCTCTGGGCTGGTGCTGTTCCATGCTGAAGCCTGGGGTTGGCTGAGCTGTGTGATGAGGGTAGAGCAGACCTAAAACTCCTGGGAAAAAGAACTGTAGTTTCCTACCTGTGAGCTGAAATATTGAATACTTTTGCCACAATGGGCCAAAAAAACTTGCCCTTCAAGCCAAGGATGTAGAAGATGGGAGAATATAAATCCTCCTACACAAACCTCAATGAATTATTTGCTGTAACTGCTTCAGTTTAACTGTGCTTTCACCTTCTACTTGTGCAGAACAGAAACTTCTCTGTGTTCTGTTCACAGGAATGGGAGGAAGCCATAGTGTTCTTGTACAGAATACATCATCACCGTTCAAGTCAAAGGTTAATTAAAGCCACATACCAACATTCTGTAACTTTTCTTGGCCACTTACCTTATTATGCTGCTTCAGAGCTGCCCTTTTTCTGTTGGGGTTTGGAAACCCTTGATGTCATCAGCAGTGATTTAACTGCAGTAGCTAGAAGTGGGAAGGCACAGTTTCACCCCAGGAAACCAGCACAGCACTGCCACAGCTCCTGCCAACAGCAGGTACCAGCAGGTTACACAGAACCTGGCTCCTCCCTGCCTGAACTCACTTCTTTATTATTTTATTTGGATTCAGTATTACAGCTTTTTGTGTTTATGAATAACAAAATTGAAAGTTAAGTAGGCTCTGCTTCAGCAGGGAGTGGTAATTATAAACAGGCCTTCAGTTTGCTCCCAAGAACCAGAAGGAGTTGCTATTTCTTGGCTTCTCACACCTATTTTTGATGGGCATAAACAAACCATGAGAACAGGGCTATTAAAATCACACGGCTTTACTTAGGGAGCGCACGGCACACTATGGATTACTGAGTTAAAAAACTTCCTGACGTTTTGCTAACAGAACAGCCCACTTCAGTAAAAAAAGGGAAGCTATGTTAAAAAAAAACAAACCAGCTGTACATTCCTGACACAACTGGACATCCCAGCACACCTGCTGTATGGGGCACCTTTCTCAAGCCATGGTACAAAACCGCACTGAAATCAGCCCCGTGGGCAACTGGACACAGATTTTGGCATCTCTGGAGAGGTGATGGAGGTGGTTTGGTGCTTGCTGCAGTTCTTCTCAGCCCTCCTGAAATGGGCTAACGCAGCCTAGGTCTGACAGAGGCAGCACCTGAAATAAAATGAGGTGTTTGATGCTGTGCTTTGCCTGCAGTCTGACAAAGAAAGAAACCCCATGCTCTACTCCCCCATCTCACCAGTGCACAAGGTACAGCTGGGTAGAGGCAGCAATTCAAAAACAAACCAAACCCTACCTAAGACACTGTTTTTCGAGTTTGACACCCCTGAAACACTTGCCTCTTATCTTCTTTCAAGGGAGATGGTCAAGAAATAAACAAACAAGTTTTCTAGCCCTTGTATTATACCTGAAATCACTTGTTTCCCTTTCCCACCATCATACAGCAACCAGAATGTTTCTGAGAAAATACCAAAACGAAACGTATCCCTTCCTCATCTCCCCTGTGCTGTGCAAGGGATCTGGGGAGAGCAGGTGTCTGCTGGACTGCTGTCATCCCCAGCCCTGAGTGACAGGGACCTGCCTGCCCCGTCCCTGTGGAGCTGCCACCGCTCCCCTCGTGCTCTTGGGTTTCATCAGCTGGTTCACCCACACTGCTCTTTCCCTGACATGGTTAAACATGGCAGGGCATCTATTTTGAGTCTCCCTGCTGCCTGCTCAGGCTTTCCAAACAGAATCAAAGAAATAACACTGGAGCCTGATGTCTGGTGTTTGCTAACTCGAGTGTTTCTCTCCCCGCGCTTCCTCCACTCTTTGCCTGCCTGCAGCAAGGCTGGTTTGCCCCTGCTTACCCAGGGAGCAGCTGTGTGCTGAGCCCTCCTTGTCCTGCCCCGCGTCCTTGCCCCCCACGGCAGCCAGGATGGACTTGTACAGGTGCTCTGCGTGGCTTTCCAGCTCTTCCGACTGTTTGGCAATCAGAGCCAGCGTGTCTTTCAAGGCTGGAAAGCAAAAACGCCCGAATGGAGGTGACAGGAATGTGATAATTCAGTGTCTGCCAGAGCTGAGAGCTCTGCCTGTCCAGGCAGACACTGGAAGGAAATCAAGTGTTAAAAATCAATAATGTGCTGTACATCCCATCCTCATTGTGATGCAGCATTTGCAGGGGGTGGGGACTGACCCTGGAGGTGCCAGGTTCATCATGAAGACACAGAAATACGGGGGGGTCTTAAAAAAACCTTTGGAACTGCAAGAAAGCCTATCTATAATGCAGCAACTTGACCTCTAAAGTCCGTTTGGTGACTGCAGCTACAGCCCACCCCTTACAAATCCCTTCTTCTACATCATCAGAGCAACCACTCAGTGTGTGCTGTGGTGCTGGCCAGGCTGAGCCAGGGATTTGGGGGAAGATGCCTTGGCCAGCATCACCCGTGTCCATGAGCAGCCCCACACAAGTGCTCCTCCTCACCTGGTGAATTCGATGCCATGCAGTCCAGGAGAGCTTCTCCCCTCTCCAGCACGCTCTCAGTCAGGCTCCGGTGGTCAGCCACATCCTTCCTGAATTCCTAGCACAGCAAGGAGAGCAGCGTGTCTTAGAAGGGTTTTGGAAACACACACCTGTGGCAGGTTGCCCAAGGAGCAGTTTCCCCCAAGTAGGCTCCTGGTGCTCCCAAATTTGGCTTGGCAAACCCAGTGCACCCTGGACCATTCCAGAGATGCTTGGCTTCCCACTGCCTGCAGCACAGGAGAGCGGAGGAAGAGGAGGTGACACCCACCAGGTAGCGGCGCAGCGATGCCAAGACGCTCTCGGCATCGGGCGAGGGTGGCACCCAGCTGCCGGTGACATCCACCACGGTGTACAGCCAACGGATCAGCTCTTCCAGCTGGCAGCAAAACATCTGCTCAACAAAGCATAAAAAAGGGGTCACGGATCTATTTCTGCAACAGAGACAGCGCAGGGACATGAGAAGGTGAGCCAGTGGTGTTTTGGAAAGCACCTGCTCCCTGTTCCTCTCCGACCCCGGCACAAAACATCTCTAAGCTTGGGAAACCAAGGGTCAACAGGAAACAGGCAAAAATTAATTTAAACTCCTGAGCAGTTCCAGCACTCACTGTGTTCACTATGAAATGTCTGCACAGTGAGGTGCTGGAGGCTGGTAGAACCCAGGCTAAAGGAGAGGCTGGCCTCCACCGCCTCCCACCCAAGAGATATCCTCATCCTCTTCACAGAGCCATACAGTTAATTTGCAGCTGCTTTCCCCAAGGGATTGTCTCGTTCAATTAAGTGCTTTCATTTATTTTTAAAGTGTCTCGGTAAGGGATTATTTTTGTAAGATGCTGCATGAAACCCAGGGGCCTCTGCTGGCACCAAAATCAGGCTCAAGACCTGTTCCTGCTCCTCAGGAGTTTTCCATAAAGCAGTGCTTTTCCCTGGCATTGCAATTTGGCATGACAAATACAGAGAAGATGCTTTTAAATCAACAGAGTTATTTCCATACCAGAGGAGGGAATGAGTTTGCAGCTATGAGCATATTAACACTCCTGTGCAAACAGCCTAGCATGGTTTCCAAATTCGTCCCAGCACTGGGGTGGGAAGAAGATGGAGAGGAGGGTGAGAGCACAGTGCTGGGATGAATTTAATAATCCACAAAATAACCAGGAAACCCTTCAGAGTTGCTGCAGCTCCTGCCCGGTGCAGCAGCGCTGCAGGACGGGTGGGCTGGGGGACCCAGCTGAGTGCCACATCTCCACCCAGCCTGGCCTGTGACACTGAGCCCCAGGGAAAGCAAGATGGGCTCTGGCTCCATCAGAAGGAATTATCTGCTCTGGTGAGCCCCCCTGCATAAATTACCACCAGCTGCCAGGCAGGACATATCATGCAGAACAGGAAGCTTTAATTAATCGGTCCATAAAGACAGGCACATTTTATGTGAGATCTTCCCAGAATAAACTTTATTTCTGGTCTCAGCCTACCTTAACACATTGGATAAGGGACTCGCTCTGCTGGCTCTTCTTTGGATCCCCCTTGACCCGTGGTTCATTTAGGCACATCCTATCCAATGTGTCCCTGAGACCAGTTGGTAGATGAAGCCTGTGGGGAGGATCCCTGTGGATCCAGCCATACAATTCTGTGTTTTCCCAGCTGGGCTTTTGGGAGCTGCAGTGTTGCCACCGCCCAGCATAACCCTCAGTACTCCCTCTGTCATCCCCACCTCTCACTTCTTCAAAAGGAGCCAACCGAGATGAAAGGGGCTGCTTGCTGGTGCTGTGATGTGGAAGGTTATGGTGGTCATACCCAGGCGTCCTTATCGTTAAGGAGAGATTGGACAGAAACTGAGCCAGACTTTCCAGCTCCTTCAGTGTTGGAGGCAGGGAAAGAAATTCTTCATCACTCTCCCACTCCTTCCTCAGGGGGAGCATTCCTGTGGTGGGTAAAAACCCACTGGTGCTTTTCACCTGCCCTGTGTAGTTTGGACAGGAGCTTCCTCTGGTATCCCAGCTTCTCCCATTGGCAGCAAGGTGCCCAGGTGAGCTTGGCCCAGATGATTCATCCTTAGCAAAACCTCTGGAAAGGTGAGAGGAAGCACTCCTTGCAAATGATGCTTTGGCAATAGGTGAAGGTTCAAAGTATGAGCCAGTTCCTGAGCAGCCTCGTTTCCCAGGCCTTGGGGTGGAGAATCTCTCTGCAGAGGCCACAAACTCCCAAAGTCCATTTTCTCTGCTTCCACGAGCCTGCCCCACTCGGCCATAGATGCTGGTGGACCTGGACATGCCCTCAGGAGAAGCAGAAAAGCTGTCCAGATCTATTCCTGAGTCATGGAGGAAAGGCTCTGGTATCCTTCCCAGCTTGTACCTCGGCTTCAGCGGGTAAGCATAGTCCAGCAAGTCCTCGTACTCCTTGTTGGGGTTCCAGTGGGGCGAGCTGCGGTCCGGAGACGGGGGCAGCGAATCCGGAATGGCACAGGCCCAGTAATCGGCTTGGTAGGAGGAGATCTCCCGGATGCGCCCCACGCTGCTGCGGTAATCGAGCAGAGCGCCCGGGGGCTGCCGCCTCTGCAGGGCCCTGCCTTCCACTGCCCATCGGCAGCTCAGCTCCCGGGCAGCCGTGGTGGCTGCAGAAGGGACGTCCGTGCTGGCTGGCAAGCTCCCGGACGGCTCCTCGGAGGGGCCGTTTCCTTCTGAGGACAGGGCCGAGCTCAGCACGGAGCGGCTCCGGGGGCTGGGCGGGGTTTGGGGCCGCAGGAGCTCTGGGGTGGAAGGACACGGGGACTGAGCTCCCAGACTTTGTCTCCGACAGCCAACATGGGCATCGTGGTGGCTGCCAGCAGAGATGTTCTCCTCGGCAGAGCTGCGCCGGCTGGGAGGGCTGGACACCGGCTCCCAACCGCCCGATGCCTTCACCTGCTCGAGGATGGGATGGAAAGGAAAGAGAGAGAGAGAAGTGCATGAAATGAAGCACAGCATCCAGAAAAAATGGTCCTTTGTGCCGGGATATGGAGATAAAAGCCCAACCCTGGACCTACCATGAGCAGAGGCTGGAAGTGGAACCCTGTTCCATCTGTGGGATGGGCTGCAGCTGCTCAGAGCAGGGCTTGTTTTTAAGGAAAGGCATTTCAAGGGCTTGGGAAGCTGCACGAGTCATTTGGCAGCAAGAGGCTTATCTAAAGGGCACTGTCCTGAGCAAGTTCCCAACTCTGCACTGGCAACATGGAATGAAAGCAACAGCTTGGGTGTTGGAGCCCAAGCCCTTCCCCACCACACATCTTAGCCTGGGCACGGGTGGGCACACTGGCTGGGAGAGATAGAAAGCCCTTGTTGGGACAGCCCTGACAAACAAGTCCCCACCTCTCCTGGGACTTCCTGGTGGTGCAGCAACACCTGCAGGTACAAACCCTCTCACCTGCTGCTCTTTTGAGGAGAGGAGCCAGCGGCCAGCTCGACAAGGCACAGGGTCACCATCAGCATCGGTATCCACTAAGAACTCTTTCCCTGAGGAGTTTGCTCTTGCTCTGGGAAATTTGGATGTAGATGCTGAAGACACTTCTGGGCAGCAGCTGGAGCCTCCGTGAGTAAGGTCAGTGGCCATGTGACTGTGTCTGCTCACTGCCACACCCTCTGTCCCTTGCAGGCTGGGCTTGGCTTCCTCTGTCCCTAGAAGCTGGTGCAGGCTCCCTGCCAGCTCCGGGAAGTCCATCCCCGTGTCCGTGCTGTCCCACCTGCCATCGGCCTCACCCTTCCCGCTCAGCGACTCTTCAGAAGGTGATCTTCCCACATCCACGGCCATCCGGACACAGCTCCTTCCGCGGGACGGTGCTGAGCCTCGGGCTCTCTGGAATACACAGCACACAGCAATGGCATCTCAGTGTCCCCCCTTGTCTCCACGCCAAGAAATTGGGTTTGCCCAATAACAAAGAGCTGAAGCATGATCGGGGTGAGACCCCAAAATTCATACAGGTGCATCTCGGTACACCAGGTGGGACAGCGGAAAGAGCAAACCCTCACATCTCAGCAGCATTTTCTGCTTCAGAGGATGTGACGCACAGGGAAAATCTCACTCCAGCCTGGCCACGCCAGAACAAACCTGGGCTTGGTACCAGGCACCGGAGTCCTGCACTGATGGCCAATGTCCCCAACACTGGGGACAAAGGAGACATCATTAACTAGGACATGAAGCACCTTGTGGCGTGGCTGAGCCCTGAAGGCTGTTGGGGTGGAAAACTGAGCATTTTTTAAAGATACAAACCCAAAACCTTGAAGTGGAAGCCACCCAGAAGCAAGAAGAAGCTATAAAAATTTAGAGAGGGAGGTAGGAGGCTGTAAAATTCAAACCTGGAGCTCAGCTCTGCATTTCATCAAATTAACTCTCTGGGAAATTAATTAATGGAAATACTTGCACTGACTGGGTTTGGGTGAGGAGCTGCTGCAGGATAACCCGTGAGCCAAATGAAGGAGACCCAACACACCCTCCTCCAGCAACTGCAGCCCAAACCAGGGTGCTGGCAGCAGGGAAATGGCAACAGAGTGGTTTTGATGGTGCCAGCAAAGAGACCAGCCAAGGGAGCATCAACACCAAACTTAGCTAAGAAGAAATTTAAATTTAAAAAAAAAATGAGGTGAGAAAGAATTCCCAAACAATCCTTGGAAGTGGGAAACAAGATGCTACTCTCTCCTGCCGCCAGCTCTTTTGTCACAGTCTCGTTTTATGATCCACCCCTCCCTCCGACAAGCGGGGTTTTCCCACGGGCACGGGAACAAAGAGCGGCGGGAGGACGCGCCGGGTCTCCAGGGGAGACCGAATCCGCAGCGCAGGCACAACCTGCGGCAGCCCCGCAGCCGCCCGTCCCCTCCCGGCGCCGGCAGCTGATCCCGGGGGAACGAGCACAGCCCGAGCCCACACCCCGTGGCCCCCAGCCCACAGCTGGACCCCCAGCCCACTCCTAAAATTGTTACCAAAGCCAACTCTACGCACGTTACGTTAGCTGAACTGGACTGCACTGCTCTCTTCTGCCCTCGGAAAGGTTGCATTTCCACACAAAGCCGTGGGGTTGTTGTAAAAAATGTAATCAATAAATCTGCCCTTGTTACGTGACTTAAAAATATATATAAAAGGAAGAAAAGCTTAACAAGGCATCAAAGCAGCCTCTGAAGTTTAAAAGTGAATGTGCTGTAACCAAAAGTTGACCTCAGGGCAGCTTTATTTTTAAGATGCCACGTTAAATTCAAAGGGATTTGAACATCGTTACCTCCTCCAGATTTGGTGGTTTGGGTCAGGTGTCTGCTCAGTAAAAACAACTGTAAAAACATCTTAGTTTGACCTTAAATCTGAAAAACATGTGTTAAGCAACATAAAATAAAACTTACAGGTCACAGTCAGTCTGTTATTTTCCTGACTGTGTGGAGGAGGGCAAATATTCTGACGTTAAGATCACTTGTTATCTTATGGAGGCAGCATGCAGTGATTTACATTTCTACGATGCCATTGGTCTTTTAAAAAAAGAGCAAGTGCTGGCTCACAGGTTCATTAAATCTCCAGAAGCTAATTGGATGCTAAAGAGAAACCAGGAAACCTGCCAATACACAGGAGTGAGAGTAAATCTGCTTACTGCAGGATTTGTAAGGGTATTTAAAGGGACACCAGAGATCTCGCTGCATTTCCCAAAGTCTCCAATTCAGGCAGCTGATTTCAATTAACTTCAGAGGGAGCTGGATACCCAAACCACACCCGGACACAAACGAGACGGGGATGTCGCACACGCCCCACACACAGAACAGCCGGGCAAAAAGTCATATTTAACAACAAAGCAAGAACACTACTGCCACTAAGTGCAACTCCCAGCTACACGAGCGCCTAGAAAATGAGCTTTCTCACCATTTTCCAACAAGCCCAAAAAAATCCAGACGTCAGGCTGCCTGTGGCGGCGACGCATCCAGATTAACCCTGGCGACAGGAGGAAGCAATCCCAAATCCTCGGGCAGGACTGAGGGATGTACCACAGCTATAGGCACGGTGGAAACTTTCCACTGGCCTCAAAACCACGGGAAAACAGCCCAAACACCCAAGCCCTCAATTGTCTCACAGAAACGATACCCGTGGCCGTGTTTTTAGATAACGGAGGGAGACAGTGGGGCTGCTTCATTCATTTCAAAGGGAAGGTCCGCAGGGATCTCTCCTGAAAAGTGATCCCTGAGGTTTTTCACACCGTCGGGAGGGAGCTGGCGGCCAGGGCATAAAGGCGACGGACAAGGAGGGCTCTCTCCAAAGAGGGCTCTATCCAAGGAGGGCTCTATCTATCCAAAGAGGGCTCTATCCAAGGAGGGCTCTATCCAAGGGGGGCTCTATCCAAGGAGGGCTCTATCCAAGGAGGGTTCTCTCCAAGGAGAGCTCTATCCAAGGAGGGCTCTCTCCAAGGAGGGCTCTCTCCAAGGAGGGCTCACTCCAAGGAGGGCTCTCTCCAAGGAGGGCTCTCTCCAAGGAGGGCTCTATCCAAGGGGGGCTCTATCCAAGGAGGGCTCTATCCAAGGGGGGCTCTATCCAAGGAGGGTTCTATCCAAGGGGGGCTCTATCCAAGGAGGGCTCTATCCAAGGAGGGCTCTATCCAAGGAGGGCTCTATCCAGGGAGGGCTCTATCCAAGGAGGGCTCTGTCCAAGGGGGGCTCTATCCAAGGAAGCGGGGATCGCTCCCCTGATGGAATGCACTGAGCACAGCGGATGCTGATGGAATTTCCGTCTCCCGCCAGCTCCGTTTTGGCTGGGGACCATTTCTGGAGTTGTTTTGGGGGAGAAAAAAAACCCCACACCGCTCTCGCCTCTCAGGCCTGCGGGATCTGAGGGCTGCTATTTTAAGCTCCTCTCCTTGCCCGCTTTCTGTCCGCCGCTGGGAAAAAAACCGGCAATTAAGCAAAAAGACAAGAAGTAAAGGCAAAGAGGCCGAGGAGGCGGCGCACCCGGGGGCCCCAGGATTCCAAAGGGAACGCGGCCCGGGACCCCCGGGATCCCCCCGGACCCCCCTCACGCCGCGCCCCGGCCCTCACTCACCCAGCGCCGGCCCCGCCCCGCCCCCTCCGCGCCGGCAGCCAATGGCAGCGCCGGCCGCGTCAGCGCGCGCGCGCCCGCGCCGCCCGGCAGCCAATGGGAGCGGAGCTCGAGGGCGGCCCCGCCCCCGCGGCCGGCGCTGACCCCGCGCGGGACGGGCGGGGGCGACACGCGCCGGCCCCGCCCCCGTGACCCTGCCTGGCCCCGCCCCCGCCCCTCACGGGCTGGCCCCGCGCCTTTTCTACTAAAAAGATAAAAAATTTAAGAAAGACTCCTCGGACTTTGAAACAGACAGGGCAGAGTGACCCAAGGGTTCTTTCTGTGCTTTCTGACAACAACTGAGTACAAGTGTAACTAGCTGTAAGCAGAATGAATATGCATGAACCTATTGTGAAATTATTATGCATATTGACATTAGTCGGGGTAATAAAAAAGATCAGAAGTTCTCAGGGGTGCGCATGTCCACTGAAAGGCAATGAGTCCTCCCCCCAAAGGCAATGCATCCACAGCGCTGTGAATAAACATACCGTTTGCTACAAATCTTTATTAGAATTGTAGAGTTTTAATTTTTCTCCACTTGTAGCCCTGCATTGACCCTCCCCAGGTGCAGCTGTGCCCCTGCACATCACCGCTGCAAAGTGACTGCAACGGGCCCTGCACGGGCATGCCATGGGATGCCGGTGTCCTCCGGGCACGGCTGCAGGCTGCAGGACCTGCCCTAGGGCTGATCTGTGCCAGCACCTTTCTCCCTCGCTCAGGATTTTTCATAGAGGTGGAAAAATGTGCTGCCACACTGTGGGATGCTGGCCGTGCCCTGCCCTCTTCCTGGGAAGCTTTAAAGCAGGCTGCTCTGGGGTTTGTACCTGGCCACACCTTGGTGGCTGGAGTGGATGTATCCTGACAAGTTCCCATTTCATGCAGAAATACAAACATTTCTCCTTGTTGCTGTGCATTGGCTGATTCTGGGTTTTGTCCATGTCACCTGCTCCTGGAGATTATTTCTTCACTAAGATTTTAGAGGTCAAGTCTCTGATAAAGCACTTTATAAGACAATATTATTTGCAGTTTTAGGCCAGGAAGGACCAAAGAGACATCCTGGGTTTGCTTATCAGTTTGGCAGCAGGTATCCCAAATCCCTGGCTAATGCTTTGGTCCTAACCACACTCCTGCAGCCTGCTCCAGCTCTGCCATCCCAGTATTATGGGCCAGATTCCCAGTGGCTACCAACTGGATTTATTCTGCTGCACCCAGTGGAGCCAGCCCCACTTACATCTGGCAGCTGGTCCATTTACATTTTTCCCTTAGACAAACACAGTGGGAATATTTTTTCCAGGGCTGCTTCAAGAAGCAGAGCTGTAACGCTGCAGCAGAACATGGTGGGTGCTCTCAGAAGAACTCACAGCCACGACAAATCCAGGATCATCTCTGTTCCCGTGTAGTATTTCTGTATTTGGGGTTTCTTTGATGCACGTTACTGCAAGTCTTTTTCCATCAGGCTGCTCCTCTCTCTGCCCCGGATGCACACTTTCTAGAGTTGCCTTTTTATTGGCGTTCAGGCAGGCAAAGCCCTTGTGAAAGAAAAGCCCTTGTGAAGGAAAATCCCTTTACAACGTTGTTTATTGCTCATTCTCCGGGGAGCCGCTTGCCTGCCGGTAGAGGCCGTGCTGAATTCAGGCCTCTGAGTGGAAAAGCGGAAGCAAACACGGATGGGGCCGTGATTCATCGCCAGGCTGGGCTGTTTTTAGCTGGTTTCAATGACTCGGGAGCTGCCAGGCATTGTTCTGGGAGCTCAATAGCAGCCGGCTCTAGCCTCGGCCCGGCAGGAAAGCTCTGCGTCCTGTTCCGCCCCCACCAAACAAGGGCCAGGATGTCTGCAGGAACAGCCAGAGCGCCAGAAACCTTCCCCTGCCCTTGGGATGGCTGGGTGCGTGTCAATAAACAAGGGGGGAATTAGCTGGTGATCTGAAGGACAGGTTATTTAAGAAATTCAGGGGGACAATACTGATTTTATTCTGCTGGCGTCTGGCTTTGTTGGGAACTTTGCTGAAGAGAAACTTGATCAAACCCAAACCCTTATTATCCTTATTAAACCCTTATTGACCCTTATTATAGATCAAACCCTATTTGATCTATAATACAGGGTCAACCCAGCCAAACTCACGCCCAAACTCAGACAAGACTGGCAAAGAATAACAAGGATATCTCCTTTCTGATTTGAGACATCAGGATTCTTTCAAACCTGGGTTTTCCAGCAAAGACAATGGATTTCTCTGCACCGGTGGATGCAACGATTCAGCAGTAATCTCCATATCTATGACATTAAATAAGAGCTTCCTTATGATTATCAGATTTGAAAGCAATGTATTTGTGATATATGAGAAGTTATTTTTGTGGTGAGAATTTTTTTTTTTTTTTTTTTTTTGCACAGAACTGGATCCATCATGAACACCAGCTGTATGCATTCAGAGTTTTAATATGCCCCTAACTGCAGTAACCTGCAGTTATCCAGCACGTGTCTTTGGCACATCAGTTTGTTACTTCTTTCTACCCTGAAGGGTTTCAAGCTTCAAGCCAGACAGTCAGCTCTCTGGGATGAAACCTGAAGCCTGGAGGTGCACCATATATTCTTGCATAGCATCTGCACTATCTTCAGCATCAAATTTCAGTCTCGCAATGCGAATGTTTGGGATGGATGAGACGTCAGCAAATGCAGGGCTTGGACCTAACCTCTCTGTTCCTCATCTGATAACAATATTAATTAGTCTTTGTGCAAACTGCTCAGGACTCTCTTTGGGATGCCTAACCCTTCTCTGAAAGTGTTTGTTTGCAAGTGTTTGTCTTTTTCTTCTCAAGGCTAACAACCCTATTCCTTTCTCCAGAGGTCAGGATATCCACATCTTGGACCATTCTCTCTGTTCTCATCTTCATTCTCATTCTTTGGGCCGCATTTCTTTGAAGCTCAACACTGATCCAAAGCTCCAGCATGGGCTTGGCTGTACTTGGGCAGAACCGGTGTGGTAGTCAGGCTGTGATCCTGCTTACACACCCTGGGAACAGGATCTGATTTATTCACAGCACAGGACTCCTGCTCCTGACTGCCTGTAACTTCCTGATCCTGCTCCTTCACCTACCATTTCCCACTAGTAAAAGTGCAGGTAATTACTCTTACCTAGATTAATTCTTTCCAGCCTCTGTTTCCCAGACTCTCTCTCTCAATTTTTCTGATGCTGCTGGGAATTTCAGCCCTGCACATTTCCCTTTTCCCACACCTTCTTCTCCAGGTAGGGCTGCAGATTTTCTCTGTTTTGACATTTGATGTCACTAATCAGCGACTTATGGTCCTGGAACTACAGCAGGCTCCCAAGGAATCCAGTCATTCAGCTGGACAGCTGCTCTGGTGATGCCTACATAAGCAGGTTCAAGCTCAGCCATGCTGCTTTAACTTCTTTATAAATCCATGAGAAGACTTGCCTAAAACCTACACACTTCTCATTACTCCTCTAAGATCACCACTGCACTATTATTGAATATTTCTGAATATTACTGAATATTACCAAAAAGGTAGCTGCTGTTTTTTCTTCCTGACTTTGGAGAACCACTTGAAAATACAACTTAAGCACACTTGTGGCAGCTGACCAATAAAATACATAAGGCAGGATTAAGGAAGAACAGAGGGAAAACTGGAGTGACAAGTATTTTAACGTCAGCATGGAAGATCTGAGTTGGGTGTGTTGTCCAATGCCAGCAGCTGGGCTATTTGCGTCCTTTTACCACTTGTTTGCACAGCTGGACCGAGTGGCAGGATTAAGCTCAGGGAAAAGGTCAAGCAGAATCTGCACTTCTCCTTTCTGGCCACACGATGTGCCCATCACACCACGAACACAGCCCGGC